TCACAGTAGTAATGGATTCGATAGGAATGTCTGTATTAGTTGTAGCAACTCCAGATTTATTAAATATTATGATCATGGTAGGATCAACTTCATTAAAAGGTAAATATGGATTTATGTTATTATTTATTATTACTATTCTTTCATTAAGACACAATTTTAGAAGAGTTACTCTAATGTGACTTTATATTTTGTATATTTTATATCAATGTATAATGTACATAAAATAGAAAGGTCACTATCAGTGTATATTGTATATAATATAGAATGGTTACTATCAATGTATATTTTATATAATATAGAAGAGCAGCTATCAGTGTATATTGTATATAATATAGAATGGTTACTATCAATGTATATTTTATATAATATAGAAGAGTAGCTATCAGTGTATATTTTATATAATATAGAATAGTAGCTATTAGTGTATATTGTATATAATATAGAATGGTTACTATCAATGTATATTTTATATAATATAGAAGAGTAGTTATCAGTGTATATTTTATATAATATAGAAGAGTAGCTATCAATGTATAATGTACATAAAATAGAATGGTCACTATCAGTGTATATTTTGTATAATATAGAATGGTTACTATCAATGTATATTTTATATAATATAGAAGAGTAGCTATCAATGTATATTTTATATAATATAGAATGGTTACTATCAATGTATATTTTATATAATATAGAATAGTAGCTATCAGTGTATATTGTATATAATATAGAATGGTTACTATCAATGTATATTTTATATAATATAGAAGAGTATCTATCAGTGTATATTTTATATAATATAGAAGAGTATCTATCAGTGTATATTTTATATAATATAGAAGAGTAGCTATCAATGTATAATGTACATAAAATAGAATGGTCACTATCAGTGTATATTTTATATAATATAGAAGAGTAGCTATCATTGTATATTTTATATAATATAGAAGAGTAGCTATCAGTGTATATTTTATATAATATAGAAGAGTAGCTATCAGTGTATATTTTATATAATATAGAAGAGTAGCTATCAATGTATACTTTATATAATATAGAAGAGTATCTATCAGTGTATATTTTATATAATATAGAAGAGTAGCTATCAGTGTATATTTTATATAATATAGAAGAGTAGCTATCAGTGTATATTTTATATTATATAGAAGAGTAGCTATCAGTGTATATTTTATATAATATAGAAGAGTAGCTATCAGTGTATATTTTATATAATATAGAATGGTTACTATCAATGTATATTTTATATTATATAGAAGAGTAGCTATCAGTGTATATTTTGTATAATATAGAATGGTTACTATCAATGTATATTTTATATAATATAGAAGAGTAGCTATCAGTAGTGTATATTTTATATAATATAGAAGAGAAGATTAGCTATCAGTGTATATTGTATATAATATAGAATGGTTACTATCAATGTATATTTTATATAATATAGAAGAGTAGCTATCAGTGTATATTTTATATAATATAGAATGGTTACTATCAATGTATATTTTATGTAATATAGAAGAGAAGATTAGCTATCAGTGTATATTGTATATAATATAGAATGGTTACTATCAATGTATATTTTATATAATATAGAAGAGTAGCTATCAGTGTATATTTTATATAATATAGAATGGTTACTATCAATGTATATTTTATATAATATAGAAGAGTAGCTATCAGTGTATATTTTGTATAATATAGAATGGTTACTATCAATGTATATTTTATATAATATAGAAGAGTAGCTATCAGTGTATATTTTATATAATATAGAAGAGTAGCTATCAGTGTATATTGTATATAATATAGAATGGTTACTATCAGTGTATATTTTATATCATATAGAAGAGTAGCTATCAGTGTATATTTTGTATAATATAGAATGGTTACTATCAATGTATATTTTATATAATATAGAAGAGTAGCTATCAATGTATATTTTATATAATATAGAAGAGC